ACTCTCCAAATGTAGTTATTTCTATTACTAATAAAAAGAAAAAGAAATAATCAGACAATTTGACAAGAAAATAACAAACATGAAATTTGAAAGCAAGCCTGAGAGTGTGTCCATTTTCTACAATCCAAAATCAAGTGTGATGTGTGTCCAAATTCTATAATCCTGACAATATAAGTATATAGAAGAAGAAGAAACACGTTGTTTTAATCCTATAAGACATTGCTGCGTAATTTTGATTTGTGGATTTAGAAGTTTAAGAAATAAATTTGATGAAATGAGTCGTACAAAGAAGTATCTCTTTGATTATATGGAGTTTTTGAATTCTAGGATTCAAATGTTTCAAAAACACTTTTAAATTCTAGAATAGGAAAAAATATATTTTCGTTAGCTTCAAGAGTTTATGAGATGTTGAAAAAATGAAAAATGTTTCAATTTCTCATTAAATATTATTGTCGGACAAAGCTTATAGAGGAACAAATATAATATAAAAGTTAAGAAAAAAATGTCGTCTAAATTATTGTAAAAATACAGTTATATTTAAGGAGAATAAAGTGAAACAATTATGATAAAAACTATTATGACAATATTTTTTTATTATAAATGTGTCTTAAAATTTCTGTTGATGAATTAAAAAAAATATATTTTTGAGATTGCATTTATCGTGAAAATCGGAGTGTCGTTCGTATAGTGAATAGTGATATCCGTACATATGAATAGTAACGCCCGTACTATGAGTAGTGTTGTCCATACGATGAATAGTATTTTCGAGTTTTCAGACTTTTTTCGATTCGGTTCAAGGATCCATGTGATTTTGAACTTTGTTTGTTGGATATTTGCTATTATAAATATGTATCTCTTATATGTTTGCTTTGTGACAATCTTAGAGTTTTCACCAACAAGGGAGACCAAGGGTTTAATAGTATAACATAGGGTTTCAGCTATGCACACAGAAAACCTTGGATTACACCTTGGATTTGAGTGATTCATATATTGAGAGTTTGAGAGGTAGGGAAACACTTGGGTATAAAATAGGGTTGCTCTTGGGCGCTTTCAGGGTTGTTCTTGGAAACTTGGAGGCGAAGGCTATTTTCTTGTAACTTATCTGTAATCTCTTGTAACAACTTTATGAGTATAGTGAATTGGAGAACCGCTTTTTCCTTAGAGTAGATCGTTTAATCGAATTGGGTAAACAAATTTTCAGTTTTTTCTTACCTTATTTTGTTATATTATTTCTGTACGAATTATTATTGTTGAAGACCATTTATTTTGCTTGCTATTGTTCTTTGTCTCACAAACTGATATTAAATTTTATCATAATTCACAACAAGATTCACAACAAGTGGTGCAGTGAGCGTGGAGCAAAGAGATATTGTTGACAAGTGAGCACCATGGTTAGTAGATGGCAGATCGAGAAATTTTTCGGTAACAATGACTTTGGGTTGTGGAAAATTAAGATGCAAGCAATTTTAATTCAAGAGAAGTGTATCGATACTTTGAAGAATGAAGCATAGATGCCTGCAGGACTTACACAGGTGCAAAAGACCGAGATGGTGGATAAGGCAAGCAATGTCATTATCTTGTGCCTCGGGGATAAAGTTTTAAGAGAAGTCGCCAGGGAGCAAATTGTGGTTACTATGTAGACAAAACTTGAATCATTGTATATGACAAAGTCTTTGACTCATAGGTTGTATCTGAAACAACAACTCTATTTATTTCGAATGGTGGAGAACAAATCCATAGTTGAGCATCTCATAGAATTTCACAAGATTATCAATGATCTTGAGATTATTGAAGTGAAGATTGATAATGAGGACAAGGTTTTGCTCATGTTGAGTTCATTACCCAGATACTTTTAGCACTTTAAGGATGCCCTTCTTTATGGTAAGAAAGGTACTATTACTTTGGGTAAAGTCCCAACGGTGGTGAAATCTAAAGAATTTTCAAAGTCGAAAGATTTGAAGATTGAAGAGAGTGGTGAAGGCTTAAATGTATCAAGAGGAGGAGGTGAGCGTAAAGGGATGTCTAAATCAAAGAGGTTTGACAAGTTAAAGGTAATATGTTTTAATTGTCAGAAAATTGATCACTTTAAAAAGGATTGTCTTGGAAGAAAGGTCACTGAAGATTCTGTTCAAGCTGTAGTTGCATTGGGCGAGGAAATTTATGAGGATGCCGAAACACTAGTAGTATGAAGTTTGGAAACTGAGGATAGTTGGGTCATTGACGCAGGTTGCTCTTATCACATGTGTCCAAGAATATAATACTTTGAAACTTTGAAGATGGTGCAAGGTGAAGTCGTTCGCCTTGGTAATAATAAGGTATGCAAGGTTCATAGTATTGGTACAGTTAGATTTAAAATGTTTAATGATTGTGAACTTCTTATTCACAATGTGAGGTATGTTTCAGAACTCAAGCGAAATTTGTTATCTATAAGTATGTTTGATGATCTAGGCTATTGTGCTAGAGTTGAACTTGGAGTGTTGAAGATTTTGCGTGATGAATTGATTATTGCTAAAGGGTCTAAAATATGTTGTCTATACATTTTTGAAGATTCAAATGTTATTATTCATTCATCGTTAACTAGTGGAGACTTTCATGACAATGAAGAGCTATGTGATTTGAGTTTAAGGCGTTATAAATGCTTTGAGAAAGTTTCAGAGGAGTACAATGAATTTTGCAGAAATCAAGGGATAAAAATGCATGTTACCGCTGAGTTGTTATTGCGTTTTTGGGGAAGAGCTGAGGTTAAAACAATTTACTTGGTTGGTAGAGAATTTCTTCAGAAGAAGAATAGTGAAAATCAAGGGAGAAACCTGGGAGAAACTATAATGGAGAAAATTCAGTTTGAGGTGGAGTTTCCTACTATGGATGCTAGCAGTAGTGAGGGAACGGTTACAGAGATCTCTGGTTATCATTTGACTTATGATAAGGTAAGGAGAGTTATTGTAGCATCTCAAAGGGACAGTTATGCTGACCTTGGATATTATGTTTTTAATGTGGCTGAAAGACTGCAAAATAAAAGAAGAAAAAACTTCAGAGAGGCATTTGAAAACATGTGGAGTTAAGGGTGGTTGAAAAATCATACTTGTAGGCTTATCAAATTACCTAGACAGAAAAGGATAATTGGGAACAAGTGGATGCAAGTTGCGAGATCGAGATTCAAGGGTTGCTTGAATTTGATCAAAGTTATTGATTAAAGTTTCAACTTGGTAGAGAGCAGCAATGTTGTTGATTGTTAAATTGGTATAAACACGGTTTAAAGTCAAGGTGGATATTGTTGTAAATGTGCCTTAAAACCTTTGTTGATGAAGAGAAAGAAAATATATTTTGGAGATTGCAATTACCGCAAAAATCGGACGAAAAGTCGAGAAAAAAATCAGCCGGTGAATAGTGTCGTCCGTATTGTGAATAGTGTTGTCTGTATGGTGAATAGTATTTTTGAGTTTTCGGGCTTTTTTCGATTCGGTCCATGGATCCATGTGATTTTGGATTTTGTTTGTTGGGTATTTGCTATTATAAATATGTATCTCTTATATTTTGGTGTGTGACAATCTTAGAGTTTTCACCAACAAGGGAGACCAAGAGTTTAAAGGTATAACATAGAAAAATATGGTTGTTCTTGGGAACCTGGAGGCGAAAGTTATTTTCTTGTAACTCATCTATAATCTTTTGTAACAATTTTCTGAATATAGTGAATTGGAGAACTACTCTCTTCCCCAGAGTAGATCGTTTGATCGAATTGAGTAAATAAACCTTTTATTTTTTCTTGCCTTATTTTGTTATATTATCTATGTACGAATTATTATTGCTGAAGACCATTTATGTTGGTTGCTATTGTTCTTTGTCTCACAAATTAATATTGAATTTTATCGTAATTTACAACAAAATTCACAACAGTTTTAGTTGACCTCAAGTTCACACTATTATAATTACAATATATTGTCTATTTTTAAAATAAAAATTCTCATAGTTTTGTATTTTAAAAACGAGAATTGTTGAATTAAAATGTATGAGTGTCGTAAAGAAACTATCCTTATATTGATTTTTAAATAATATAGAATTATTTTGGCTAGAGCAAAATAACCTAAAAAAATTGCAAGAGCTTTAAAGACAAGAACTTTAAAGTTGTCATCTCTCTTTCTTTGATTCTTTTGCTTCTAAAGCTAACTCTTTATTCTACCTTGAAGATATTTAATAGGTCACATACAAATATTAATTTCACCCATGATTCTTTTTCTTTGTCTCTATATCTTGTATTATACTTCATTTATACAAAAAGTCTAAAAGAAATGATAAGACAGTGATCGAATAATTAGCCGGAAGCATAGCCAAATTCTCCTTTAGAGAGCTAGCACCTAATTGGATTGCATATGATATGACACATTTAGTACTTTGTTCAACTTTTTACATTTTTGTGTTAAATTTACACACAATATGATTTCATATTTTTGAAAACAATGTGCAGTTAATAACAGATTAATATAACAAAACAAATAAATGATTTAATCACGACAATATTTTATGAAATCGATTTTGAGTTATGTGTGATAATCTGTCTTGCAGAGTCTTATACATCCAAAAATTTAAAGTTTAATGATACAAATAAATATATACAAATTCATACATTATATTCATTGTGTAAGATATAACTAATCCCAATACAAAAAGTATAAATAGAATACATAAAATATGTTGTAAACAAATTAAAACAAACCTATTTTACATTATATAAGAATATATACTTTAGATACATCTATTATCATTGGCTTATTTCATTTTAATACAAAGATGCTAACTAAAGATGAAAGTTTCTTCATCATTCAAAATTCTAAAACCAAGAATCAAGCAATTCTCTCTTTTATTAACTTTATCAAAAGAAAAACTCTTATAAGACTGAAGAATAACATCACTCAGAAGCACCAAAAACTTTAGTGTCATAGCAAATTCTCTAAAGCTAGCTCTAATAATTTGCATTTATCTTATACACTGTAATAACCAGCAACATGCGTTCTTATAGTACCTCAGTTTTGGCTCACTTGTTTGGCATCATTTCCATCATCCTTTTGCTTGTTTGGTTGCTGCATTATCGTGAAGGGATTGAATATGATTCTGATAATCCACTTCGTGTTTTCAATGTATATAAACACTATATATGTTTCTAGGGTTTTTGTTCTTTAATTACTTGCTTATGCACAACAATCATATTTTGATGTTCTTTTTTCTCTATATCAGGTTCACCCTTTTCTGATGTTCTTTGGGTTCATTTTCCTTGTTGGTCAAGGTAGGTATACATATATAATAGTCAATGAATCACTTACACAGACATGTTGACACCAGTAATAATCTGAACGTAATCACTAGTATTAGTGTCTGACGCATACATAAGCACTTACACGTCAAAACCGATAATACTTTGAGCATAATAATCACAAGTGTTGGTGTCCGAACACAGATACAGATACTAATAAGTCTATTTTTCAGAGATGTCAGGGATAATAGAGATGATAATGCAAGTTTTACTATAACAATATATTTGTTGAGTTATTTAATTTGTGTTGTTAACATTTTGCAGCAATAATGTCTTACCACACAGTACCAGGCACACATGAAACACAGAAGATTGTTCACATGACACTTCATTTCATTGCCATAATTCTTGGAATTGTTGGTATATGTGCCGTTTTCAAGTTCCATGATATGGTGAACTTGGTTGATGTTTACAGCCTCCATTCATGGATTGGCATTGGCACCTTTTGCTTGGTTGGCTTGCAGGTATACAAAATCTCATCCCAAGAAACTCTGGTCAACCTGACCTGACCTATTCTCATCCCTAATTACGACTACGTCTGACGAGTGTCGTTTTTTTTGCAGTGGCTTTTTGGACTGACGTTCATGTTTCCTGGATCAAGACAATCAAGGGCTTCAATGGCTCCATGGCACATAGCTGGTGGTAGAGCATTATTCTACATGGCAATTTGTGCTGCACTAACAGGCTTGATGGAGAGGACTGCTATGTTGAAATTACAGCCACACCAAAGAGAATCTCATTTGATCAATTTCCTTGGTCTATCTATTCTCTTGTTTGGTGTTTTTGTGGATGTAACTGTTGGTTTGGCCCATTTTGCTTGAAGTGGTTTCATTCCTCAAATCTTCTGATACATTTCAAGAATCTTCACAGATTGGACTGCTTCAACATTCTTTTTTTAATTGTGTGGATTTTGTAATTGTGTTGTTCATTAACATGAAATGGTTTGTATAATTTTTTACTTGTGTGAGATATAAGTTGATTAATTTATGTGGTTGCTTTCAGTATGACTTTCTATAAATGAATATTAAGTTGATTTATAATTAACAAATTAACTACTAACATTTGTCTATTAAACAATGTATATAAATAAAGTGGTTGAAGTAACAAACATTTTTGGAGAGGAATTCTATGGAAAGAGATTGGTCACCTTATTTTGCCTTTGCATCTTTAACTTGAAGTGGTCCCTTTAATTTCATCATCAATTTTTGGTCTAACATAAAAATGCTTTGCCTATTGTTTGAAATTACTCATTCATCAATATTCTCTAACTACCTAATCCTCATTTGTCCTATTGGGTCGCGATTTTATGTGTGGTTCAGCAGTTGCAATTGAGACAAAATTGGTTGCTCCTGCCACATTAGTAGGTTATTCATCCTTCTTTCCATAACAGGGCACTGAATAAAAACACTATCTATCTTCTAGGAACTAGTACTTTAAACTATCATAAATTTTTACAATGGTTAACGATACAATTCAGAAGTAATAACAATCAATTTTTGTTAGCGCAGTTTGACTACAGGTACTAGATTATTTTACAATAATATTTTTGAAGATTCCGCAACCCCAATTACCTACTCATAATAATTTTTAAAATATGAGTCATATTCAACAATACTTATTGTTGTGGTATATTTATAAAAGGCCCTTGAGAGGCGAGCAAGGAAATTCTTCCTAATCGCCCATTTACGAGATCAACCGTCTATTTATCGAATATGTCACCCCTTTATTTAATGTGTCACTCATCTTTGAAATAATTCGTGATTGATAAATTAGCAAGTGTACTACTATGCTGATATAATAATAATGGAAAACTTTAAAGTATCGATCTCAAAAACTGCGTGGTGATATAAAGTTATCGTTCCAGTTTAGTTAAACAAAAGACTTGGGGGTTTTAATTTGGTGTTTTTGATAAAGAGAAATAAAATAACAAATAAAACTAAACAGACACTACAAGAAAAATGTATTTTAGCCTCCTGCGCTAGCATTGGTACCCGACACCGACGCTATTAGAGTCGGCCAAACCTACACTAAAAGTTTTTTTATGACAAAAATGTTACAAACAATAGTAGCGTCGGTCAAATCGATTTCCGTTTGAATCCATTTTCCGTTAAAATCTCTGTTGAAGGTAAGTATCCATCAAACCCTCATTCTAACCTAAAATTCATCCACATTTAACCTAGAATTCATCAAAAACCCTAATTGTTTACTCAATGCATGCAGTAATAAACATGGTTAGCTGAAGTAAGAACAAGAATCAACAAAGAAGAAGAGCTTGAAACTTAGAATAAGAGGGTAATTTTCTATAATTCTTTCGACAAACTATTCTGAATGCGTTGTGTTTCTCTTACTATGTATTAAAATTGTTAGGTTTGAATTTTTTTTATTTTTCTTATCATTTGCGCTTTTGTTTCACTCTTTATGTGCTTGTTCTCTGTTATTTAAACATATTAAAGCTATATGAGTAAACATGCTAAGAAAGGTGTATTATCAGACTCATTAACTATTATAACATGACCTTGCAACAATTTCTATGAAAATATTGATTATCGGTTGTTAAGGGTGTTTACTCCTAAGTCCTTAGTGAAAAAAACTTTAAACATTCAATTTAACTCGTGTCCATAGTGAATTAGAAATGAATTTAAGCATTTATTTATCAAGAACAATTAAATTTCTATAGGGTATCCCCAGTCATAGGTGATATGTACTACAAAATACTTTTAATTGAGCGTTAACATTGACAATCCTACCTAACTATTAACCTTAAATCAAATCTCATTTGTTTGAAAGAAAAAACATTAAACACAAATCAAAAGTAAATCCAATATAAGAAATTGTTGTTATCTCAAGGTTCAAGTAGAAATCATCATAAAATCCAAATCAAGGAAACCCCTTAACATTGGGAGGCTTAGCTACTCATAGAATTCAAAAAAAAACATCATAAAAGTTATAGACATTACAGATCAAGAGATGAATACGAGGATATTAAAGATTAGAGAAGATGAAAAGGAAAGAACATAAGAGATGTGAAATTAGAGAAGAAAAGTGTTGCTACGTGAAAAATGCACAGAGTCGCCACCGAATTTTAATTATTCCAAAAAAAAAAGAGAAAATATGGATAAACCCCCATAAAGGTGTAAAATGGTCTCGCAACTAAATTTGGATTTGAAAGTCGGTTATGCGAGGGGAAGGTATTAAAATTTATGATTTGAAATATATTGAATGATGAAATGGATGATGATTGATGATTACTTGAACCTCAGACGGATGAAATACAATTTGGTGAAGTTAGAGAAATTTGAAAATGAGAGAGTGGAAGAGTTTTGTAAATGAAAATGAAAAGTGTGGGAGGAGAAGAGTCTAACGCGATAATAATCTTAAAAATGTTTCGAAAATATATCTCCAGAATATTTCAACGTCCACTTATGTTTAGGTGCATCAGGAGATATATCTCCAAAATATTTTAATGTTCAATTGAATTTTGATGTGTTGGAAAATATATCTCTAAAATCAAAAGAGATATATAAAAAATCACATAGTATAAAAGAAGTTCATAGTAAAAAAAAATCCTCTTCCTTTTATTCCATTATATAACCATTCATTCCACCACATTCTATATTCAATCAAAACCTTAATCACGGTAAAAATAATGAAAAAGAATAAGTACCAGTTGTAGAATCAAAAGAATAATGATTAAATTTCTCGAGCACAATGAAGTTGGGTTCTACTTTAATGTAATCACAAATCAAAAGTGTCAATATTATCCTTATATATATTTACCAAATGCTTTAACATCAAAACTCATTATTATATTTAAAAACCATATTTCAAACATATGCATAGAAAATGCTCTTAGTTGTCGAATATAAAAGTGAAAGATGAAAGCACATTGCTCAAAATGAAACCATGAAAAGATTCATATTCCCTTTCACAATCATCAACATGGTGTGAACTAGTTTCAATGTGACCAAAAAAACAAATCCTAGAAATGCAAATATATAACCAAAGTGCTTCACCATTATCCTTTTATGCTTCATCCACCAAAGAGTACCAATAGTTTTGAACCAAATGCTCCAAGAAATACCAAGGACCACTCAAACTATGCAAAATCTATAACAGAAAATACATAACAGTTAAGATATATTGCTAAAATTGTATGTTTAAACAGCAGAACTCTATAAGCAATGAAACACCAAAATCTCGACGAATCTATAAACCGAAAATCGAAAAAAAATGATCCATTCTGTAAACAGCCAGAATACCGGAGAAGAACTTCAATAAACAAAATAAAACCGGATAATAATAATGATGATAATAATATAAAAGAAAAAAAAAAGTTAAATCCATTGCTGCTTTGTTGCCTCCATTCTCTGCAACAAACCATCGATCTCATCTTGCATTCGCTTCTTCATTTTATAGTAATCGAAGTAGGAATTTTCCACGACTTTCAGGTCATCCAACTTCCTCCTCTGCGTTTCCTCGGTCTCATGCAAACTCAGTTTAGAAAGCTTTGTTGTATACTCATCTTCCATCTGTGCAGTCTTTAAGCTGACCATCTTCTGAAACCCTTCTGCTTCTCTCCTCGCTTCGTCTGCTTTAGTTTGGAACATTTTCGCTTCTGCCTCCTTTATCCGCACAATGCTCTCCAAACTTTCGATCCCGCCTTTGCTTAGTAAAGCTGCTAATTGAAGATCAGCGTCGTTTTTTAGCTCGCTTAAGATGGAAGCTTTGAGGTCTTTTTGATGAAGATCTTTCGATGAGGCACCGGAGTGTGGCCTAGAGTAGCTCGAGTCATAAGAGTATTTCGGTATTGAAGAGTTAGCTTTTGGAAGAGATAGTGTGTCCTTTGGAAGGTTGGCTTGAGAGACTATCAATTCCTTTGAAGAAAAACCAGAAGCCGGATAGTTTGCCATGTTCTCCGCATCTATTTGTCAGAAAAATCATCTCAAAGGTTAGATATCACATAACACTTTAAGTAATTTAACGAAATCAAACACGTCTTCATCACAAAAAGCTTATCAATAACAAAACGAATCAAGTTTATAATAACAAAAGTTGCAATTTATGTAGTACTACTACTATCTCTTCGGATTGAAGACATGCCTGGTGTTCTACATGTGTCGGTGTCCAACATCAACACATTTGATTACATTAATCACTTTATTTTCTCAAATTATTATTGGTGTTTGTGTCAGTGCTTCATACGCATCAAAAGACCAAAAAGTATTAATTTTCCTTTAAATCACCGATCTATGAGTATATAACTTATTCAACTCAGATAACAAATTTAATAAAGAAGAGCACAGTTGTGACACTTACAGTTGAAAAATTGCATGATGTAATTGCAGGCATCTGATGGAGATACTATTTTAGTTTGAAGCTTTAATAGCAAGTCATCGGTTTTAAAATGCAATTCCTTCCCTTTCCGATCTTCACTTCCCATGAAAATCCTCCTAACACAGTCAAGCTCTTTCAACAAAGTTTCAAGTCCCCAATCCTTAGCACAACACATGAACACGTCTTTGACGAATCCAAACATTTCCGAGGCATGTCCGCATCCAATACAATGAAACTGCATTTCCGAGGTCCCAGAAGGCCCCTTCAAGCTTGGCCCTGGTTTGATGAGCTTCCTTTGGAGGCCACAGACAGCATGGCACCAGTGCGAACAAACATCGCATCCAATCCAGCTACAAGTGTTACTTGCGCAATCGAAGTTCAAACAAATAGGACACATACAAGAGCTACAAAACCCTTTGTTTCCCGAGCAAATCTTACAGTCACAATCATCAACAGGAAGCAAACTCTTGCAGGTAACGTTTCTACATCTCCTATACAAGAAAATCTCTATCATCTCAGATAATTGAAGATTACCGTATAAGAAGCTCGACAGCCCCATCTTGACGGCAAGTAAAATCTCTAACTGAACTTTATTGCCCTTTGAAAGAGTCTCCTTGGTAAGATCGGACCTTCTCTCAAGCCGGTTTTGAAGGCTGACTAATTCTTCTTTCTTGTTCTCAATCAGATTCTTCAAGTATTCCTGAGTCGATGCTACGACTTCATCGCCAAACTCCTGAACCGTCAGTGAAACAATAGGGATAGATTCTGAAACAATTTCCCTAACAATTCTTTCCGGTCTCGAAACATTCCTCACCTTACCACCCTCTAAACCTTCAAACACTCTCAAATTCTCAGAGTTTCTTCCTCTTGAATCCCCTGAATGAGCTTCAAATCTAGGTCTAGCAGGCAATTCAGACGGAAAAAAAGAATGATTCTCCGAACTAGTAGTTTTATACTGACTATTATTCCCTTGTTGCATGAACGAACTGATACCGGTTCCACCTCCATGATTCGACAAACCAACAACACCGTCACCTATAGGTTTAAACCTGCTATGAACAGAACCATTAGTCCCTTCACCACAGTTCCAAATATGATCATCTTTGCTCATCGAAAACTCAAAATTCTCCGTCGAATTCCGCGTTAGAGAGCAACTTGGATTATGCGAAAACGGGTGCGAATAAGAGTAAGACAAAGAAGGTGCTGTATAATCAGTTGAATAACTAGTAACCGTAGTTGAAGGCCTACAAGGTTTGGTCCTAACCAGTTGCTGTTGCTGATCACCATTAACATGTAAGGCATTCGATGCAGTAAGAGAAAGAGACACATCAGGTAAAGCAAGAGAGAGATTCAGTGTCTCAAGCTTCGGTTTCTTATCCCTAACACTCTCTCTTTCTCTCTCAACATCTTCTTCTTCAACAGATCTCTTTGAAGAATCCTCTCTTGTTTCACTCAAGCTCATAAAATCTCTTTCAACCCATTTCCCATCTTGGTTTGAATTCTCAGAAACCATAACCTCTTTACCCTTCTGACTCATTTTTTCAAAAGAATTCAGAAAACTCTCACCATCACCATCACCATGAACATCTTTATCAGCAAGACTCAATTTTTTACTTCCACAAAGATAGCTTAGGGTTAGTTCTTGCATACCTGAGTTACTACCAACACCGTTGTTATTGCTAGAACCACCCATCTCTGAATCCTTCAGAAAAACAACATCTTTCTCATCTGGGTAACCTTTGTTAGCCTCAAAATTGGGTCTTGACAACTTGCTCCTGGAGCTTTCACCATCAGAGTCAGCAACACCATTACGAAGATCTTTGTTTGCCATCATGGCCAAAGGAACAAGAGAGAGAGGGACAGCTTAACGAGGAGAGAGAAACTAAACTAAGGTTAACGATTTTTATGTTATGGCTATGCTTGGTTCGGTTTTTCAGCACAGCATAGACAAATAGCTATGATTTCAAGCAACGGCTGGATTTATATTTTTCAACGGTTCACACTAAGTACATGGAATACTTTTTTTTTATTTAATTAAATAGAATTACATTTGAATACATTGTATAAAATTAGAAAATGCTTAATGATTAAGCTTTTTTTTATGAAAATTTGTGTATTCAATTTATTGAAAATTGAAATTTTAAATTTTTTTCAAACAAAATAATATTTTTACTAAATATCTTTAAAAAAGTCTTATTTTTTTACGAGTCCATTATTATTGAACAAAATATATATTTTTTTTACCAAAAAATATATTTAATTTTATAATTAATTAATCATAAACGTGAAATGTTTGAAAATGTTTAATTTTTATTTTAATTTATAAAATAATAAAATGAATGATGGTAATATATATATATATATATATATATGTTGAAGTTTTGTGTTAGTTAAGGGATGACAGAGTCACAAGTATAAGTAACGGCAACAGCTAGCATGACTTGTTCTTCTTTTATGCAAACCTCATTTTCTGCGTTGCTTCTTTCAATGCATTTCTTTTTCTTTTTCACAAAAATAAGAGTTGTTCAGGATAGACTTCACTTCACAGATATTATTACAGTTGACTAAGAAGGTTTTTATTTATGGTAATTGAATTTTATGTGTATATTTTTTCATTAATGTTATACAATAATCCAGTCAAATGTTGTGTTTTTATTATATTTAATTTAATTGAAATTTGTTTTGTTTAATTGATATACTAAATTTATAATAAAATATGAATACAATAATTTAAATTGTCAAATGTTTTTTTCTATAAGTTTTGGCCTAAATACACTTGATTTTTGAATTGTTTTTGTGGAAGTTTGTTCAAATTACGTTATACAAAAGTACATTGGTAATATAAATATTTTATGAGTGGCATTTTTCAAATATTAAAACGTTACATGTTTTTTCTTTTTTATTTATATTAATGTTATAAAAATATATTATTTAAAATTATTGGTCTCAATTTCAATATATATATATATATATATATATATATATATATATATATATATATATATATATATATATATATATATATATATATATATATATATATATATATATATATATTAAGAAACAAAATATAAATGGTTTCTTAATGATCAAGATACACACAAGAGTTAGGATTAACAAAGATAACAAGGTAAAACAACAAGAATTTGTTATAAACTCTTATTATTTCCTTACTCTTAGAACAAGATTACAAGTATACAAGAATAATAAAATAACCCCTCTCTCTTGAAATTAGGATATTATCTTCCTATTTTTTCTTATGTCAAAGATTGAGAAACTAACATCTTATTTATAAGAGAAATATCACACTAACCCAATGGGCTTTTTAACAATTACCCATTACAAGATAACTTAGGGTACAAGTTAACTTAAACAATTGGGCTTACAAGCAAGGCTTAATTCAACATGCTAACAACCCTAGCAATATTGACTAATGCATGTTAGAACAAACTTCGACTACAAAACGTATTACTCTGACAGTAGCATGCGAACATACTTCGACCTCATGCTTAATTTTTGTCATACTAGAAGCTACCCTTGGACCATACTAGAGTTCGATCCAACATCTCACAAATCTCCAACTTGGATCTAACTCTATAACATCAAGAAACTAGCTTTCTTCGTGCAGCTTTATTAACTGTATACAGTGGAAAAACTTACAACTAGGCAACGTCTTGGTGATCATATCAGCAGCATGTGAACAACTTCGATTGCTGCTTTACTATCTTCACCCAAGGATCCACTATTAATTAGGACTCTATCCAGAGACTCATTTATGTACCTTAGAATCCACTTCAATGCTTGTCAGTGAGCCTTTCCAGGATTCGCCATATACCTGCTTACAAGACTTATTGCATATGCTATGTCAAACCTAATACAGACCATAACATACATCAAAGAACCCATTATATTAGCATATGGAATGTTATTCATATAAGTTCTTTCAACGTCAGTGTTGGGACACTGATATATACTCAGCTTGAATTAAGGGTTTGTCGGAGTCACAACAGACTTTGAATTCGACATACCAAACTTTTCGAGAACCTTCCGTAGGCATGCCTCTTGAGATAAGCATACTTTCGACTGACTTCTATCTCTTCGAATGTCAATTCCAAGAATCTTGGATGCAGCTCCCAGATCCTTCATGTCGAACTCCTTATTGAGTTCTGCCTTCACCCTCATTACATCTTCGACATTGTTGCTTCCTATTAAAAAATCATCCACATAGAGCGACAAATCTTGATGAAACTTATGTGTGCCATGAACTTGTCGAATCTCCTATTCCACCGTCGAGGAGATTGTTTAAGTCCATATAAAGATCTCTTCAATTTGCACACATAATCTTCCTTCCCCCTTTTGACATACCCTTCAGGTTACCTCATCAGGATTATTTAATCTAAATCACCATATAAGAACGCAGTTTTCACATCCATCTATTCCACACTGTGTTATGTCAAGAATCTATCCGTCAATGACCGTATGTTATATTATATTATCTGCTATGTTTTGATTCCGAAAGACTCTAATCATTCTCAGATCAATGACTTGGAGATGCAATTGATGTTTGCAATCAAGAACAGAATTAAAGTTAATTGGATTTTAACCATGATGTATCACCTACAGCAACAACTCACCTTGTCCACTCGACTTCCATACGGGCGACTCATTTCCAGAATTCTCGAATTAACCGATTCGGATTTGAACCGAGAACCCTTAATTACCCTGAAACCAACTGTGAACGAGATAAATGAAATCACAATCATCAAGAATACCGGCATAGTGAAATATACTGATGGAACCTACAAATATGCAGAAGACGGCTCTTCTTCTTTCAACCATCCTCATACAATTCCGGAAGGCGGCATCACAAATGAATTTTTCTACATCGCTATGATGAACCAACATAGAGAAACCACTCGGGCGATTAACTCTCTCTGAAGACTTGTGATGAACTCTCAAACTTCCAATACCGGATACGACGACAATGAGGACGGAAGTGAAGAGGAAGAAGATGCAGATGAGGATATGTCGGATGATGACATTTAAAAAGCCCTTGTTATTGTTGTTTACTGTTTTCTAGAATTTGTTTAACTCTAAGTTTTATGTTTCGTATTTTTATTCGTAACCATACTATATGCGTATGTTTTATGTGTTAAGTGTATGTGATTGTGGTTATTCTATGTGTGCTTGTGTACTTTCATTTTCTTTGCTCCTCTTCCTTTTTTTCTAATGACAAAGGGGGAGAAGGATTGTCTCTAACATTTCCCTATGCAGAAATTTTTTATCTCTCTTGTATTTAGGAGGAGCTCTCTAACTTAGGGGGAGATATGTAGAGAAACAATATCACAAAGAAAATTTTCAAGAATTGGTTGTCATCATCAAAAAGGGGGAGATTGTAGAAGCAAGCTTCAAGGCCTTTAATGTTTTGATGAGGACAACTAAGAACAAGCTTTGTACGCAAGATATTCTACGCAAAAAGAAAGAGAAGCAAGCAATCAAACAAAGTCATCAAAGATCAAGATAGTACCCTCGTGTATGACTCTTTGAATCAAGTTTCGATTACAAGCTTCAAGTGATGATGATCATCAAAGCAACGATATAACAAATTTTACTTAAGAATATTTATACAAGTGTTCATAAAATCACTTTTCACTTCACAATTATCACTAACACTTTTAAAACCTTTTTAAAATACTCACTGCTTTTAAAATTAATTATTTTCTGAAAAACCTTATGTGTTAATCGATTAACACATTGGTTAACCGATTAACACATTTCAAAATTAATTAATTTGTGATTTTATAACAGTGTTAACCGATTAACCTATAGGTTAACCGATTAACACATGTAAATTTTGAATATTTTTGAATGTTGTGAAGTGTTAACCGATTAACCCATTTGGTTAACCGATTAACACTGAAGCAGCAAGCAAAAATGGCAGCTGTTCATGGCAAATTTCATTGATTACCATTTCTTTTACTGATTATTTTTGCTGCATCAAAAACTCACCCTTTTGAACAGGTTTTTTATGCATATAAATTGTTCTTAATATCAAAATTACAAATAAACCTTCAAGAAACAAATTCTCTCAAATTACTCACATTCTTTCATTCTAAGTGTTCAAAACCATTTTTGAAAGAAGCCATTGATTTAACTTTCACACTCTCACAACCTTCTTTCACAAGAACACTTGTATATTTATCTGAGTAACATTTGTTTCGAGAAGAAGATCAATCGTGAAGATTGATAACAACTTTCTATCAAATATTTCTCAAGAACATTTTTTGTATTTCCTTGTTATCCAGGACTGTTGGAAACAAGTGAAGTGTCTTGAAGAGGATTATTCTTCATTCACTTGGATTACCTATAGGTTTAGATAGTAAGCATCACCTTTTGGTGTGATTAGGCTTTGCAATAATTTTGAACTATAGTGAAATCTTTTTCGTGTTGAAGGGGGAGTGGAGTACTCTCGGAGTGTGAGGGTGTAATACCCCAAATTTTACCCTTATATTTAGTCAGTCATTTCGCATATCATCTCATATGTACATTTGCTAACCACTAACAAGTGATGGAGGTGTTTGTTTTGCAGATTTGGTCCCAGGGGTATTTTGGTCATTTTACACAAATTCTACCAATTCCTTGAAGCCGGGTTGTTATTAAAATTTTGAGGCATTTGATACGTTATTGTTTTGATACATTTATCTATCACCAGGTCTGATCATAGTAAGATTTTGGCATTTGGTCAGTGGAATTTAATTACGAGTAGTGTTACTGTGATGCTGAAACTGTTGTGATTACGGTGCCCATATGTGTTTGGTTATGAAATGGTTGGTT